GGGTCCTTTTCCTGCTGCCCTTGGAATTATGGCTTTCAATGGCAGAGTTTGGTGAAAAGGAAAGGAACTATTTATTCAAAAGTTATACAGGTTTGATTAATGACTAAATGTCGCTCCTTAATCTCAAAATCCCTTTAAAACACGCACCATTTAAAACACCCACCAGCACACACAATCCTGTCTCTCCCCCTTTGCCCAGTTGGGCCAGTCAGGCCAGTCAGGGGTACCATCCTTCAGAAAAAAAAGAACAGAAGTCTGGGGCTCAGCTAGGCAGGCCTCTAGCGGGCACCATCTCAGAGTCGCCGCGATCTCCGGCTCTTAATCCAAAACCATGTGGCATCTTCTCCTGAGCCACTAGTAAGAGTCCTTTCTTCCCTTTTCTTCCAGTGTGGCCTTCCCATTGTTCCCCAGAGTCTGCGTCCCTTTGTCTCTCCCCTAGGCCCTGTCCTTCCTCCCTCTCTCAGTTACATTCTGTGTTAAGTCTTTCAAATCTTCCTGGTTAGCCTTGTTGAGATGCAAAATAAACCTCTCTGTAGAGGTCTGAAGCAATGCTGCTGTTATTGACATGCAAAGTAACTCTCAATGGCCCTGCTCCAGGTCTCCCATCCCCCATGGCGGCCTGTCTTGGATGGGGAGAATATATTTTTCTTGGACACCCCAATTTCTGGGTCCCATTACAAATACCCTTTGGGGGGCCCTGGCTGTGCCCCATTACAGGGACATTGGTTAAAAGTACATAATCTCAGCCATCAACACACCAGATATCTAGGGCAGGCCTGGGAATCTGCTTTTCCAACATGCTTTTTTTTTTTTTTTTTTTTTTTTTCCCAGTGCAGTCAGCACAGTCAAGTCATGATACTTGGACTGGCTTTCGGAAAACACTGCCTGTATCACATGGCCTCAGATTCTCTGCTTACACACACTCTCTCTCTTAGTCTGCTTGGGCTGTGATAACAGAATACCACAGGCTGAGTGGCTTACGAACAGGAGAAATTTATGTCTCACAGTTCTGGAGGCTGGAAGTCCAAGACCACCTGCAAATTTACGCCAAGGCACCTGCAGATTTGGTGCCTGGTGCAGGCCCACGTCTTGGTTCACAGATGGTCATCTTCCCACTATACCCTCACACGGCAAGGGAGCTCACTAGGATCCTTTTATAAGGATACTAACCCCATGTATGAGGGCTCTGCTCTCATGACCTAGCACCTCCTAATGGCCCCACCTCCTGATTCCATCCCAGTGGGGCTTAGGCTATCAACATAAATTATGGGGGACACATTCCCCGCTACCCCCCCAATGCTGAGGGTCGGATATCTTCCTCCCAACATTTGCCTCTCCCTGTATCCCCTCACCTACCAAGAGCTCAGATCTCTTGTAAACTCATGTGCCATGCACACACATACACTGTTCATTTAGTCTGTCACCATCCTAGCCATCATCGCTGCCATCATTGCTCCCATCTTACCGATAGGACTCCGGGCCAGTTGCAGTTGAGTCAGGATGTGACCCCAGGCTGTGGACATGGAGGCCATGTTGTGTGGCTTCATACCACACTGTACTGCCTTCCCTACAGAAGGTCCCTATCCTATGTCCCAGCCCCTTGCAGTCCTGCCTGACAGTCCAATCACGGGACAGAAACTAAACGTCACTTAAATGACAATAACTAACTTTGGCCTAAAAGATAAACCAGCTCCTCAGATCCAAGTCCCATCTTCCTGTTAGCTAGAAATTTCAATTCTGTCAGCTGATGGTGAAAAAAACAAAGAAATGCCCTGGACTTGAAGACATAAAGACAGGTAGAAACTTCCTCCTCCACTGGGGACCACATCAGATGGAGGGGACCCCAAATCTGAATGCTCCAGGGCCCTACTGCTCCAGACAAAGTACAGGAAAAATACCAGTTGCTCAGAGTACCATGCACACATTCACCATGCATGTATAAACATGCGCACAAATATACACGTGCACACCATGCACACATATACATACACATACACAGTGTGCATACACACATACACATACACACACACACATGCACATACATACACACACTTGTAACCATCACCACCAACTTGGGTTGTAGGCATTCTCCTCATAGCGAAGCTCCCTGACTCTCATGCTGATTCATTCATGTTCCTCTGCATACATGCTATCCCGTGGTCTTAGGGCAGAGACTTCAGCACTCGCTGAAACGCTTGCTAAGCCCAGCATGGCTCTGGCCACTGACAGAGACCCAGTGCCTGCTAAACAACAGGGCTGGTGTTCTCCTTTGGCAGAGCAATAAAGGAAAAGTGAGCCACTTGAGTCTGATGCTCTTCCCAAACAGAATTGAACTGGAACTGGAGCCACAGTATGTGGTGGCCAGTTTTGGGGTAGGGGCTGTCCTTGCATGCTGTCTCTATCTGCACCCCCACCGACTTCTTCTGGGTCTAGGGCTACACAGTCAGTGCCAGCGCAACCCAGGATAAGAGAGGCAGAAATAGCAGATCAAGTCACATCCTGCCTGCAGGGAAGGCCATTAAACAGAAAACACTGCAGAGAAAACTACATAACAGTTATCAACCAACCAGAGGACCCAGTATCCATCTGAGATTTTGCCAGGAGCATAGGAATTAAGGGGCCTTGTAGCTAGTGGCTCACAGAGCCTCAAATGGAACAGTGTTCCTTTGGATCCACTTTACTCCCACTTGATTTTCTCCTTGGCCCACTGGACCTCAACCTTAACATAGTCTCTTTTTATCCTAAAATGTCATGCATGTGATATACCAAATGACACAGTATATCAGTTACATACCATCTTTTTAAAAAGCAATGGAATGCCCAAAGTGAAATATAATGGAGAAACGAGAAGTAATTTTTTAATATATGCATTTCAGTTTGTGGATGCTCAGGCTCGGCGGCATGAAGGAACCCTGGTGAAGTCATCAGATAGTTACAGGTTTGGACTGAAGAGAAGTGAGAAGATCAGAAGCCATTTCAAAGAAGACACAGAGGAAAAACAAAGAACAGAGGTTAACTCTAAATATAAATCGGCATTGTGCTAAGTAATAATTGATGAGAGTTTGTCTAAGTTCAACGTGATGTCAGCGAGATAGCCACAAGTCCTGCAAGGCATGGAAAGGTGCTTCCTTGTGGGGATGTCCCCAGGCATTGCGGGATGTCAGTTTTCCTAGACTCCACCCACCAAATGCCAATCGTGTCACCTCCAACCTGTCACTTTCAAACTTGTCCCCTCCGTTTGCACAAGGCCACCTAGGGGCAGAAGCATCCCCTTTGAGAACCGTGGAGGTAGGCAGTAGGCCGAGGGGACTCCAGGGAAGGGGAGGGCGGCCTCCCTCGTTAACCAGAGGAGGAGCCACCCAGACTGGAGCACACAAAGCTTCCAGAGAAAGAGGCAGTGGGAGGCCTTGGGGAATCCTCCCTGTTTCCTCTGCCACCACCAGGCTCCATTCCCAGGGTCCAGAGAGCACCCCATCCCCAAGGCACCTTGCCCTTGGCTGTGGAATTGGCTGGCGGCAGCACCTGAGCCTAGGTTTGCTGGGCTGCATCTCAGCGTCTCCGAGGTCCAGTCCCTTTGCTTCTTAGTCAACTTTCCCTTGTTTTCCTGCAGCTCCAGGGGAGCCAGACACTCTCTGAACCCTGCGACCCCTGTTAGCCAGCCCCTGACCTGCAGTGGGCAGGAAACAGCAACACCCCGAACAGAAGACGGGAACCAGGGATAGGAAGGGGCAGGTGCAGGTGCAAGGGTTTCTTTGCGTATCATTTAATGATGATGCCCTGGGGAATGGCCTCCCCCAGCCAGGTCTTGTTCCCCCCCGCCATGAAGAGGGCTGTAGGCAGGCGATTGGGAATCAAATGAAGGTACAGACTGGCCCTCTCAGGGTGTAGCAGTCCCCTGTGGGTCAGGGGCAGGCACAGTAAAACAACAGGAGCCTCCGGTTACCCACAGCCAGGTGCGGAGCGACCCACCCGCCCCCATACCACACCTTCCAAAGCCAACTGGGCACCCACCCAGCCTGGCTGCACCAGGTGGGGCTCCTGCATGAGCCTGGGTGCACTTGTCCTACTCAGTGGGTAGGTTTTAAGGTTGGCACGTGATGTAAGAACCTGCAAATATCCAAAAATCACTCTCAAATCTCCCCCTGCATAGCACCACGTTAGAGATCAGCATGTAGACCCTCAGTCCATCATCCAACACAGCAGGTTTGTTCTCCCCTTTGGGAACAGATCTCTATTTCTCCGGCCGGGGCATGTGTGAGGGGTGCTCACCCCTATAGCTGCCATGTGTGAGGGAGCCCAGGCTTCCTGGAGAGGCCACACCAGGTGCCCCATCTGACAGCCCTAGCGGAGGTCCCGGCCAGCAGCCACCGTCAACCACCACATCTCTGGGCGAACCAGCCTTCAGGTGATTTCAGCCTCCTGCTCCTGAGCCATCCCAGCCTTCACATCCTCCAGGTGAGGCCCCAGACATCATGGAGCAGAGACAGACCCTCCCCCTCTTGCCAGTGTCTGAATTCCTGACCACAAAATGGGTCAAATTTTAGGACATAACGGTGCGTTGTGCCTCATGCACTATTTGGCGTGCGCTAAGGGGGCCCATTTGTGTGCATCTTGAAACATTTCAATAATGCTCAGCTGGGCATAAGGCTCCCACTTGAAGAGGCGCCTCAGAGCTGAGACTGACCCAGGGAAAAGCGAAATCAAACCACACGCTCTACTGAGGTATCAATCTTTGCTTTATGCCCCTGTCATTTAAATGCTTTGTCCTAAAGGAATGGGTGAGGATGTGTTCTTGTAGATTAAACATATGATGGATTCCATCACAGGAGCTCCAGAAAGACATGTGGTTTGACAGACGATAAGCTGAATTCTCTGGAAGGACAGACACGCCAGGGTCAGTAAGTGATTGCCCAATGTCGCCAATGATGAGTGAGCCCAGAGACTTTGGTTGTCCTCCCTGGTGACTGTGAGTGGCAGGCTGAGGGGACAGGCGAGCCGTGTCAGATAATGGTGCAGCCGCAGCAATATCGCTCAGGATAGTCCACCACGTACACCCTGTGGTCGGTGCCGTAGATGTAGTAGACATTAGTCTTTCCTTGGTACCAGTAATGAACTTCTGTGAGGGGGATCAGCTCAATGGTCTGGCGCTGAGGAAACAATTGGCCAGGAAAAACTTCAGTGCTCTGTTCAAGTCACTCGCCTGCTTAAGAACTGTCAGGAGCTCCCCTACTACCTGTGGGATGAAGTTCATGCTCTGGAGTTGGCATTTTGGCTGCAATCTGCCTTTCTAGATGTATCTCCACTGTACTCCTCCATACACCCTAAGCTCTGGCCCAAACAGACACCATCTGATTCTAGGTTTTAGGAAGCGGATGTGCAGGCCTCCCCAGAGGAGTCATGGGATGCGTGGAGAGTCACCAGCCAAAGAGGACATCTCCCAGAAACATTAGTTTTGAGATGGGGGTAGGAGATAGAGAAAGGTAGAGGATAAAATCGTTTTAAACATTTTCATACTACAACAACCATGGACATATTAAGGAGTGGATTATACAATTTGAATTAAATTTTAAGATAAAACATTGACATCAAAGAAATTTCATAGTTCAGTCGGCTGTTCCAGGCTGTTTTCTCAGATCCCTCCCTCCCCTGCACCCCCGCCATGGTTTTGCATCCACCCTCCTGTGAGAAGCTTTTCTCAAATACCCCCCTCCTTCTGCAAATGGGGAAACTGAGGCCAGTGGGCTCATGGGATTTCCAGTTTGGATGATCATCCATGTTAAACTCCATCGCCTCACCTTTGCTGGACCTGTTTGATGCTCAAACCTCCTCCCAGCAGCCACCTCTACCTAAGAGCCTGGGACACTCACTGCATCCTACAGAATGGTCCTAAAGTCCCTCACTCTCAGGCCCCTTCTCTGAGCATTGACTCAACAGCCTTCCAGAATCAAGGGGCCCTGAATGGAATGCTGGCCTCCTACTGAGGCAACCATCCCCATTAGCCTTTGGTGCTGTTTTGTTATCAACAAATACAGATGCATTTAACAGAGGAAAGTCACCCCTCATCGCTGAAGCAAAGCTTTCTTGGGGACATCCTGTGGGCCAGGCTCTATGTCAAAACCCCTAAGGGCTTCTGCGCTGGTTGTTCCCATGTCTCAGACTCAGGTTTAGGGATCCCCAATGTAGAGGGACGTGGCATGGCTGACCCAGGATCAGACCCTCTCACTTGCCAGAAATTTCTCTCCTTAGGAAATTCCTCTCCAAGTCCTGTAGGTAATGGTCTGAGGCGCTGGGGAAAGGGTGAAACAGGCTGGGGAGGGGATTTTGAAAAGCAGCCTCCTACTCCAGGGGGTAGAAGCTGAGAGGTAGCATGACATTGTGGCAGGACAGGGAATCAGAGCCAGACTGTGCCTTTTCCATGAAGCTTTCTGTGGAATCTCACATTTCCTTTATCTGGGACTCAGTTTCCTCATCTGTGAAATGGGGATAACACTTCTAAGTCAAAGAGTTATTGATACAACCAAATGAGATTGTGAGACTGAGTTTTCTCCATATGCCAGAAACCAACTTCCAAGTGTTAATTTTGGAAATAAAAGGTAGAAGACCTCTCTTCACATTCTGGTACAGAAGGCCCAACATGGAACTACGAGGCAGGAACCAATGGGAGCCCACATCCCGGCTCGGAGGGCCTGGACAGCGGTGTCAGGATGCTCTCGTTTCCAGACATTTCTTCTTAGATCAAACAGAGAGCTCAGTAATACCACCCCACCACTGCCTGCCTCCAGCTGCTTCTAATTCAAATGGTCTGCAAATTTGAGGCCACAAACAGGTCAGGACATCAATTTCCATCGAGTGCTTATCATGTAACTGGCTGTTTATTTGTTTGTACACGTAGGACATGTCCCTGGGATGAGCTGACCCCAGGTCTGAGAGGCTGGGGCCGATGTCTTGACTGTATTCCACTCACTAACTCCTCAGTCCTGAACAAAATATCAGCATGAATTTTTGTCGACAGATCCAGGACCAAAGGGCAATTTAGGAAAAAGATTCACAGATGTGGCCTCTTCTCTCATTACATTTCCTTTTAAAGAAAAATGTGCCTCTGCCCCATTTTCCCTTCCCTGCTGGGCTGGTTCGCAAATGGTTCGTGTTGCCCAAGACAGGACTGTGCTGCAGGGGAAAACCCCAGGAGACCAGGTTCCAACCACGGCCGGCCGCCTGGGTCTAGATTTTGGCAGTCACTTCCCCTCTTTGGGCCTCAGTTTCCCCAGCTGTCAAATGAAAGTTCCAAAAAAGATTCCAACTGTCTGTCTTAGAGGCAAAAGAGTACTGGGCTAAACACTAGTGTCCACAAGCTGCTGAATCACGTTCTTTCGCTCTCCCCAGTTCCTGAGAAGACACCTCGGTCTGTGGGGCTCTTTACTGTGATCCAAACCCTAGGAGATGAGCGCTGAAGAGTGAGCTTCCTGAGACACTATCCTGGGGCCTTTTGGGGACATTGTTCTCGTCCCACGTGGGTCCCCTCAAATCTACACCGCCAACCCACCTCCACCTTTACACATTCTGCTGCTCATAGCTCGACCTTCCTCTCCTGGGTCCCATCCTTGAGATATGGAACCCACCTTCCTCCCAGGGCAGAAAGTGCCTGGGAGGCTGTGCCAGCGATTGGATGGTGCTGAAGAATGAAGTCCCAGCTCCCCTTCCTCCAGGACACCCTGAGGTATGGTTGATGCTCAGCTCCCCAGGGATGGTGCAGAGGCTGGGCCATTGCCAGTACCGCACTCTTGTGTGGCCTCTCCCTCCTCACTCTGCAGCTCCACAGGTTCTCCTGGGAGCCCTTCCTTAAGAAATGATGGGCCCACAAACACTCGTCCGGGATCGGCTGCTGCAGAGCCCAACCTAAGGCAAGGTCCAACCCTGCTCATTTCATAGATGGGGGCACTCAGGCCCATGGAGCAGAAGAAAGGGGCTCACAGCCACAAGTATGTGCCTGAGCTGGCAATCAGGTCCTGACCCAGTAAGCGAATTGTCCCTTCCAAGTCTGACCCAGTGAAAATGGCCCCAAATCGCCCCGCAGGCTGATACCCCTTAGAGTCTACACTGACTTCCAAAGAGCCATTTGTGTCTCTTTGTGAATACAGTGAATAACATTTGGCTTAGAGTTAGAAAACTCAGGTTCTACTCCTGGGTTCTTCCACTGAGAGGCTGTGTGACCTTGGGCAGGTTACTCCCACTCTCTGGGCCTCCTCTGCTTCATCAGAAAAGTCATAGGTTTGGACGAGACCAGGGACAGCCTATGATGGCCCACAGGCAAAGCAGGCCCATCGACCCATGCAGGGTTATTAGCATTTTTAAAAAATTTTGTTGTCAATATTGAAAAGTTAGAAGGTTTCATATAAAAATGTGGACTTTAGAAGGTCTGCAATCTTTGCTTTTCTGCTTACATGAAGCTGATGGTAGCTGGCCCCTGTGGACCACATTACCTCCTGGCTCTGGTAGGCGTTTGAGCTTGCAGCATCCCAATACTATGATTTCTGGGAAACGTTCCAGTTCCAACATGGCCATTTATTCATTTCAAATTAAATGCATCCTCCTCTCTTCTGCAAAGAGGGGAGATGTGCAGAGAGAGAGGGGAAATACTCATTGCCAAGGGGACAGAAGGGACAGGGACATTTTGATTACCAGGCTTCAAGTGCTTAAAGAAAATTGTCTCTAATCAAAACAGCATGGTATTGGGGGAAAAAAAAACAAAAAAACAGACATGCAGACCAATGGAACAGAATTGAAACAAAGGACCCAAAACATACAGTGGAGAAAAGAAAACCACTTCGATAAGTTGTGCTGGAAAAACTAGAAAGCCACATGCAAATAAATGAAATTAGACTACTGCTTGACCCCATACACAAAAGTTAATTCAAAATGAATCAAAAACCTAAATATAAGGCCTGAAACAATAAATTACATAGAAGAAAACATAGGTATTAGACATATGGACCTTGGTATTAGAGAGGATTTTATGACTTTGTCCCCAAAGGCAGGGAAAATAAAAGTAAAAATAAGTGAGTGAAATTTATCAAACTAAAAAAATCTTGAGGAAAAGGACCATCAACACAACAAAAAGGCAACCAGTCGAATGGGAGAAGATATTTGCAAACAACAGCCAAGATATATAAAGAATTTATAAACTCAATAACAAAAAACCAAAAAAAAATCCAATTTAAAAAATGGTCAGAGGACCTAACCCATATACTTCTCCCAATAAGACATCCAAATGGCCAATAGACATTAAAAAAAAAGAGCTGTGCTTCCACAGAAAGATAACAGTTCACACCTGTTAGAATGGCTATTCTAACAGTAAGACATGGAAGTAACCAAAGTGTCTTTCAAGGGATGAATGGACAAAGAAGATGTGATATTTATATAAAATGAAATACTACTCAGCCATAAGAAAAGATGAAATATTGCCATTTGCAACAACATGGATGGATCTGCAGAATATCATGCTAAGAGAAATAAGTCAGATGGAAAAAGTCAAGAACCATATGATTTCACTCGCATGTGGGATGTGAGACTGAAAGCAACAAATGAACAAACAAAAACTCATAGACAGACAACAGCATGGTGATTATCAGAGGGGCAGTGGGTGGGTGGAGGTTGAAGATAGTAAAGGGGAGATAAGTGGTGACTGAAGGAGACTAGATTTTGGGTGGTAAGCACACAATGCAATATGCAGATGATGTATTGTAGAATTGTACACTTGAAGCCTATATAATCTTAACCTATGTCATTCCAATAAATTTAATAAAATTTTTAAAATTAAAAAGACAATTTCCTCATCCTTACAAGGCCCCCTGAGGCCCTTTTAGCATTTCTTTTTCCACAGGTGAGAAACTAGACTTCAAGGAGAAGGCAGGTGGCTATGACCAGGTTAGGATGCAGGAGAACCAGGACCTGAGCCCTCTCAGCAAGAGTCGCCCCGGGTCTGGCCCCCTCACAGAGAAAGTGCTGTGCATTCCCTGTCCAGGCTCCTCCTTCCCGAAGCTTCCAGCCAGCGGCTACGAATGCCTCTCCCGGGGACGCAGACGGGCACCACTGCCACCTAGTGGCCACAGGAATACCGCACCAAAGCAACCCTAGCCCTGGCTGCCACCCCTGCCCCTCCCAGGCCTGGGACTTGGGAAGCCACCTGAGGGGCAAGACGCTGGGTTCACACCCTGCCTAAAACCCTGGATCTCGAGATTTCCCTTCCCTTCTCTCACTACTGAGAGGGGAGAGCGGGGACGGGGGGAAAGTTCTGATCAAAATCACACTGAGACACATCCTTCCTTGAAACCCTGCCATAGCTGCTTATCGCTCTCGGGATAAAAAAATCAATGCTTGTCACCATGGACTGTGTGGCCTGCCCTTCTGTCTGCCTCCAGCCACACTGGCCTCAGGTCAGTCCCCAGGACTCCTTGTGTTCCTCAAGCTCGGACTCCTCCCCACCGCTCTCCCTCTGGCTGGTTCTTCCCCACCCTTCCTCCCTGCCCTTCTCAGGAAGGAGCCCGCAGCAGAGGGAACATCCCATTACCTCTCTTATGTGACAAGGGGGACAATGCCCTTGCCCTCGGAGCTCTCAGCTGGCCCCAGGAGCCTGCTTCCCAACAACCCCAGGGTCCGCCGGCTCACCTGCTGAAGGACACGGGCTCTGGAGGCGAGGGTGGCGCTGTGCTGGGCAATGCCCCGCTCGGAGGCCAGAGAGATCTCCCGCAGGGGGAAGTCGACAAGGGGGTACACCTGAGGAGAGAGACGCAACCACCTCGCTATTCTGACCAAGCCCCTGCCTTGGAGGCTTGGCAATCGATTTCAGGTGGATGGGAGAACAAGCCTAGATTGGGAAGGGCCCCAGGTCAGGCAGCATGCAGGTAGGGGTTGCTTGAGCTTCACAGACCCTTTATTACCCACATTTTGATGGAAATTCCACCTAAAGGGGGCTGTGGACAGAGTATTCCTCCACCTGCAGTGGCCAGTCCCCCAGCAAGCCCCTGAGGCCGCCTCACTGGGGTGGGGTGCAGGGCTTCCCAGAGGGATGATGCCTTTAGGAAGTCGTAGTGACTGGGGCAAAGGAAGGAGGCTGAGAAATGTTATTCAGCCATAAAAAAAAAAAAAGAAAAGAAAAAGGAAGACCTGACATTTTGACCTGAAATAAGTTAGGCAGAGAAAGACAAATGCTGTATGTTTGCACTTGTATGTGGAATCTAAACAAAACAAAACAACCAAACTCCTAAATACAGAGAAGAGATTGATGGTTGCCAGAGAAGGGGATGAGGGATGGATGAAATGAAGTTGGGGAGAGGGGGGATGTTCGAAAGGTAAAAACTTCCAGTTATAAAATAAGTCCTAGAGATGTATTGAACAACATGGTGACTATAATAAATAACACTGTGTTGCAAGTTGCTAAGAGAATTACTCTTAAAAATTCTCATTACAAGAAAAAATATTATATAACTATGCATGGCAACTATGTAGGGTGATGGATGTTACCTAGACTTCTCGCAGTGATCATTTCACAATAGATACATATATCAAATCATTGTCGTGCACCTAAAACTAATATAATGATATATGTTAATTATATCTCAATTTTTAAAATGTGTATTACAAAGCAAAAGAAGCCGATCTGAGAAGGCCACACACTGAAAGAAAGGAAGAAAGAGAGGAAGGAAGGAAGGAAGGAAGGAAGGAAGGAAGGAAGGAAGGAAGGAAGGAAGGAAGGAAGGAAGGAAAAAAAAAAGAGGGAGAGACTGAGTTCTGACCCTCTCAGAGAAAACAGCATGAAGACTCTGATCAGGCTGCCCTTAAAGGCCAGTTCCCTGCCAAGGCCTACAGCAGGATTGGCGAATCTTTTCTGTCAAGGGCCACGGAGTAAATATTTCGGGCTTCGTGGGCTATAGGATCTCTGTCTCAACTACTCAGTTCTGCCTTGCAGCACAAAGCCAGCCACAGACAATACATAAACAAACAGGCAGGGCTATGTTCCAATAAAACTCTATAAAAGCAGGCCGAGGACCGGAGCTTGCAACCCCTGACCACCAGGACCCTCCCTGCTGGCACTTCTCATGTCTCAGCTCCTTGCCCTACCTGGCTCGCTGCCTTCTAGCCCAACTGCCCTCTGCTGTTCTTCAAGCCTCTGCCCTGCTGTTTCCTCTGCTGGACACCCTCATCCTAGTGACCACAAGATCCACTCCCCTGCTGCACTGCATTCTGGTCTTTGCCCACTGTCACCTCCCTGTGCCCCAGCTGAAACAACACCCCTAACCCTTCCTGTCTCCTCGTTCCGGTTGCTTATTCCTCAATGACCCTTACTGCCATCTGACATTGTGGTGAAACGTTATCTTCTCCCTCACCAGACTGGGAGATCTACAAAGCGGGGATTTTGTTGGACAATGAGAGAATGGTTCCAGAATGGTGCCTAGTACAGGAGGAGGGTCTCCATGTTTGTAGAAAGGAGGCAGGGGAAGGAAGGAAAAGGGAGGAAGGGCCCAGAATGTGCAATTCAAGGGAGGGCTGGCCCCACAGTGACCCAGATGCCTCTGTCCTGTCCGGCCAGCTCTGTTCCCCCACAGCCTGTCTTTCTAAATGAATGCAGCCCCCATCAAAAGCCAGAAGAGCCAGAAGAGGAACATAGCTTCCGTGGGGTGCTCTGCAAAACCCTCCTTACCATCGTATTCTCGTCCTTAAAGAGGTTTTCTCCTTTGGCTTTAGCTAGGAGCTCCATGGGACAGTTCAGCCGGTGCTCAGACACAAACTCAAACAGGCTGTTTTTCCTGGAGGTGAAGGGATGAGGGATGCTTCAGAACGTGGATTTGGAATCAGACAGACCTGGGATGCAGTCTTGCACTACTATTTGTGGGACCTGGGGAAAGTTCTTTACTGGGCCTCAGTACATTCAACTGTAAACTGGGAAACTAGTAAAGTACTGAGAGCTCTGTCTCATTATCTCAGTTCACCCTTCCCTGTGAAGTGCTTAGAAAAGTGCCCAACAGGAGGAACCCATAAGACCTGGGACCGCCCCTGATGTGGGAATTTAGAACACAGACAGGAATGCCCAGGTGCCCAGTGGTTGCTGCACTAGAAAGCGGTGATGTCAGAATGTGAACTCAGGTCTGTACCAGCCCGTTGGTATCCCCCCCGCCCCCTGCTCCTCCTCCCGGGGGTCTCTCCCCTTTCCAAGTAGTTTTACGCCCTTTTTCCCCAGCAGGTTCCTGAACTGCAAAAGCCCCAACCAAGTGGAGTTTCTCTGCAGAAACTAGTTCAGGCCATGTCCCCCAGCTACTGCCGCTGGGCCACTGCTTTCAGACACTACCACATACCACATGATGACCAGCTGGATGAAGTGCAACAGTTTCTTTTCCCCCTTGCAGGTGGCACAGGTCTTGTTCCCCCTCCCTGAGCACGTGCTGCATCTGGGAGGGATACATTGTCAGTACCACTCAGATACTCAAGGGGCCCTGGTAGCTTCTGGAGGCCCCCATCCCCAAATCCTTCCTCACAGAGGGGAACTGTGGTGGGCATGGATTGCTTCTACCCTGCCACCATCTAGACTTCTTGCTTCTGGTGGTAGTGCCCCAATTTCCCTTTGGACCACCCTTCTATCACCCAGTCTATATGGTTCACAGGCTTCCCCCAGCCCTTCTATGCCCAGCTTGGGACCTCGGCCTGGACAGTCAGCTTAGTCCGTCTCCCTGGTCACAATGACTGATACAAAGACAGACACATGACCCAGGTAAGTGCAATGAGACCCACCCTGGAACTTTCGCTGAAACTAAAAAAAGGGACACCCTTTTCTACTGAGGTTACTAAGCTTGGAGCTGCTGGTGGTCCCCTCTTTCACAAGAGACAGCATGACTGAGAATAAAACCAACACAAAGGAGAGCAGAGTGAGAACTGGAGACAGATTCCTGGTGACGTTGTTTAAGCACCTGCACCAGCTGTGCCTGAAACCATGCCAGAAATATACTCCTGGACTTTTCTGTTACACAAGACTGTAAATTTACTTTTTTGCTGAAGCCAGTTTGAATTGGATTTCTTTCATTTGTAAATAAAAGAAATCTGAGGTTTTTTCCACATCAAAGACCTTCTTTACCAATCACAGGTGGCAGGTCCACCAGAGCTTTGCCATCTGCCTTGTTAGAAGGATGCTGTTTAACCAACACAGTTTTGAATAGTTTCACTCCTCATGGTTTCCTATTTCCATTTAAAGATTTATAATACATTAAAGGAAATGTTTTACAAAATACAATGCCCCACTGTTTGCAAAGCCCTGTAAGCAGAGATGAAACTGTTGATTATTCAGTCAATCAACCAACTTTCATTGATTCCTCCTCCACGCACACCCTGCAAGGAGTTAAAAATAAGTGTTTCCCAGGCCCAGATCCTCAGTTACGAATCTCACCTTTGAGACTTCCAGTCAAGATGGAGGCATAAGTAGACACACTTTGCCTCCTCACAAAACCACAAAAAAAGTTACAACTAAATCTCAAAACAATTAACACCTAGAATTGTCAGAAAATTGAACTGTATGGAAGTCTGACAACCAAGGATTTAAAGAAGCCACATTCATCCAGATGGGATGGAGAGGCGAGGAGACACGGTGTGGCACAGAGAGGTGAGAGCGGTGGCAGAACGGGCACAGGCAGTCCCGCATTCACATGTGGTGGATAAAAATCAGAAGGGATACCTTGGGAGTGAGTGATGCCAGCCCCAGGCCAGACCACAGAGCCCAGAGATCCAGTGCCGGGAAGATAAACCCCCATAACTTCTGGCTGTAAAAACCACTGGGGCTTGGGGCAGCAGAAGAAACTGCCAGATTTTCAGGAAACTCCACTTAAAAGGCCCTACAGTCTCGAAACATGCGAACCCACCCACTCTGGGATAAACACCAGGGCAATAGCTGGAAGAGCACCAGGCACATGTGGGGAGTGGGTGAAGTGACTGGAAAGGCGGTGAGTACCAGGCAAACCTCCAGAGACCAGGCAGCAGCACAGTCCCCTCTCTGAGCCCTCCCCCTACACAGAGCCACAAAGCAGCGACACGGGTTGCCCCACCCTGGCAATCACCTAAGGCTCCGCCCCCACAAAATTTATAGGTGCCTTTTCTACAGCAGGCCACACTACTAAGACAGGGAGCAAAAGCAGCTCTACCTAACACACAGAAACAAACACAGGGAAGCTGTGAAATTGAGGATACAAAGAAACATGGCCCAAATGAAAGAACAGAACAAAGCTCCACAAAAAAGAATTAAGCAAAACAGAAATAGTCAACCTATGAGATAAAGAGTTCAAGACACTGGTGATCAAGATGCTCAAAGAATTCATTGACTATGGCAACAACATATAGGAAGAAATGAAGGTTACGCTAAGTGAAATAAAGAAAAACCTCAGGGAGCCAGAAATGAAGGGAGGGAAGCTATGATTTAAATAAACAACTTGGAATATAAGGAAGAAATAAGCAATCAACCAGAAAAGAAAGAATAAATAAAAATTAAAAAAAAAACAAAAAACCATGCAGAGTATAAGAAGACTCTGGGACATCTCCAAACATGCCAACATCTGAATCACAGGGATGTCAGATGGAGAAAAGGAAGAACAAGAAACTGAAAGCTTATTTTAACAAACAATGAAAGAAAACTCCCCTAATTTGGTGAAGGAAATCCACATACAAGTCCAGGAAGCACAGAGAATCCCAAATAAGTTGGACCCAAAGAGTACCACACCAAGACACATCATAATTAAAATGCCAAAGGTTAAAGATAAAGAGAGAATCTTAAAAGCAGCAAGAGAGAAGCAAAGAACTACCTACAAAGGAGTTCCCACAAGACTGATCAGCTGATTTCTCAAAAGAAACTTTACAGGCAAGAAGGGACTGGCAAGATGTACTAATGGGATGAAAAGCAAGGACCTACAACCAAGATTTCTGTATCCAGCAAAGCTATCATTTAGAAGGAAGGACAGATAAAGTGCTTCCCAGACAAGGTAAAGCTAAAGGAGTTCATCATCACCATGCGATTATTATACGAAATGTTAGAGAGACTTATTTAAGAAAAAGAAGATCAAAACTATGAACATTAAAAAAGGCAACAAATTCACAACTATCAAAAACTGAATCTTTAAAAAAAAAAAAAAAAGCAAAACTAAGCAAAAAACCAGAACAGGATCAGAATCAGAGATATGGAGATCACATGGAGGGTTATCATTTGGGAGGGGGAAGGGGGAAAATGAGGGAAAAGGTGCAGGGATTAAAAAACATAATTGGTAGATACAGAATAGGCAGGGGGATGTTAAGAATAGTATAAGAAATGGAGAAGCCAAATAACTTATATGCATGACCCATGGACAAGAAGAAATAAGGAGGGATTGCTGAAGGGAAGGGGATACAGGGCAGAGAGGGTAAAGGGGAAAAACTGGGACAACTGTAATAACATAATCAATAAAATATACTTTTAATAAAAGAATCTCACCTTCGGGTGGTTTTTTATATTCACTTCCTAACCCGCATGAGCAGGAACAAGTCTCCCCTCCCTAAACTGCCCCCCTTCCTTCCTGCAGGGCCTTGCTCCTTACACCTGACCCACAGATTGTTTGATGAGCTCCAGTCTTGTTCAGAAATATCAGGCCTCAAGAAAAAGTCTGCCCACTCCACAAAGGTTTACCAAGCACCTACTATGCACAGAGCTCTGAGTACACAGGATTGAAAAGACAGACAGGGTGCCTGGTTGCCTTCCAAAAGGGCAGACAATGAAAAGCAAGAAAGCCAGGGAAACCTGCTCATACCTGTGCCTGCCAGAGCCTGAGCACATCTGACACCTCCGCGGCTGCTTGGCTCTGCGCTTGGCTCCGCTGCAGGAAGGGCACCTCACCTGCAGACACACCACGGCTTTAGCACTCTCTTGCCTCCCAGGGAAGTGGGGCCAAAAGCATCCCAAGACATGGTTCAAATCCCACTCTGGTGACTTTGGGCAAGCCCCTTCTTCTCCCTGGGCCTTCAACCCTTCATCTGTAAAATGGGAGGGTTAAGAGTAGTGTATCTTAGGATCCCCCAGTTGTACCTTTCAAAGACTACATCCTAACATCCCTGTTTCTCCTGGGATACCAGTCTCTCCCGCTCCTTGCTGATTCCCATGAACTCTGGGACTGTCCCCTAACCAAACAGCGATGGCCAGAGGGAGCAGTTAGAGGGATGGGCTGGCCGAGGGACCTAGTGTTGCAGTTGGAAATCTCATCTTGGGAAGGCCCCCAGAGGTGACTCAGGCAATTCCCCCACAGTTGGCTCAGGGTGGGCTCCAGAGAAATCTCAGGGGAAGCCTGAGGGAGGAAGAAGTAGGGGAAGAGGAGGAGAGGTGGAGGAAGGCACAGAAATGACCTTGGGGGGTGCTCTGGGAAAGCCACAAGGAGGCAAATAGCAAGAGGGCGGGCATAAAATAGACCAGGTGTTGGCACAACTGGCCCCAAGACGTGCTCAGGTGGGTAGAGGAGTGAGCACGCAGCAGGCAGAAGGAGGGCACCAACAGGGTGTAATGTCAGGCAGGCAGATGGATGGATGGAGGAAGCCACAGCTCAGGGTGACAAGTGGTCAGTATGTGTCCAAAGGAATAGGTATAAGTGGGGAGAGCTAAGAACTCATGAGGAGCTTGGTACTACTCCTGGGATGATTAGGAGCCCTGAAAGTTTTTAAAAAGAATGCTGATACCATAAGAGCCTGGCTGTGTGCTTAGGGGCCTGTACTGGGTCAAATAGTGACCCTCCTCCTACCCCCACCAAAAATTACATTCAACAGAACCTCCAAATGTGACCTCTTTTGGAAATAGTCTATGCAGATATAGTTACTAAAAATGAGGTCATCTTGGACTAGGGTGAGCCCTAAATCCAATGACTGGTGTCCTTATAAGAAAGCCAGGAAAACACACGGAGACACACACATGGAGATGGCCATGTGAGGCTGGAGGCAGAGGGGCGTGACACAGCTACAAGCCAAGGATGGCCAGCAGCTGCCAGAGCTCAGTCGATGGCTTCTGCCTCAGGGCCTCCAGAGGAATCAACCTGCTGACATCCTGATTTTGAACTTCCAGCCTCCAGGACTGTGAAAGAATAAATTTCTGTTGTTTTAAGCCACTGAGTTTGTGGTAATTTATTACAGTAGCCCTCACAAATCACTACAAGACCCATCTCTTTGGTCTCTGGAAGCCCTATGAACTTCACCTTCTTGGCGCTCATCACCTTGTACTACAGGTGCTACTCACTGTCAGTCTCCCCCACAGACAGGGGTCCCTGGTGGGAAGGACTCCAGGTCTTGGTCCTCTTGCTGGGCCTAGTGCCAAGCAAGGGCTCAATGAATGTTTGTAGACGGATGAGAAAAGAAGAGAAGAATTAAAATCATAAACCATCAAAGTGAAAAAGGCCAGTAGAGACCATCCTATCCAACTTTCCCATTTTACAGGAGGGAAAATGGGGGCCCAACAAGGGAGAAGGACTTGCCTGAGGTCACCCTGTTAGCGTGGGGAGCGTCCGGCCCCCTGCCCAGCCTTCTGGCTCCCCTGCCCATGCTACACTTACCAACCGCCACCATAACTCACCATGCCGGCCCCGTGGCAGCCGCTGCACTTGTAGCGCCCATGCCCACGGCATTTGTGGCATTCCTGATGGTGAAATGCGTTCTCTGGATCTAGTTTCTCAGATACCTACAGTTTCATTACCTCCGCCCCCACCCCCACTCCCGTGTCACCATCCCAAACAGGTGCAGCCATTCAGAGCCAGAGGGGAAAGATGGCCGTTCCCACTTGACCACAATTCCAAAGGGCCTTGGACACCTAGCCCAGGAGACCATGCCATCATTTCCGGAGAGCCCCCGCCCCGTCTGTCCTGGAGGCTAAGTAAGGGACTCTTGCTCTCCAAGTCGCACATCCTAACTCACACTCCCAGGCTAACCCACAAAGGCTGGTGTCTTTCGCCCATCCAGCAGCTAAAATGGTCTTTGGGAATAGGAGTCATAAAAATGGACAGCATTTTTGTGAAAGACAACAATCTAGCTACCGGAATTTAATCACCAGACCAACATTGCTTTTCCACTCTGGAGAAAAGAATGGAACACTTTACTGAGCTCTCAGAGTCCTCCCCATCTCATAATACTAGGAAAACACATGGGATAAAATTACATGCTTGAATCAAGTTCTAAAGTGAAAACAAGACAGGTAATTAGATGAGAACATAACATAAAATGTCTCAGCTGTGCTTTTGTCGTACATTAGGTTACCCTCATTTCATGTCATGATCATTTGTGTAAAACAGAAGAGAAATTAAATTCTGCTCCCCTATTGATTTCTATGAAAAATCCCAACAATGTTTTGACTTTATTTTATATATTTCATTCAGCACTTCAGCAGTTTACTATCAGACCAAAAAAGGGGACAGGGAGGATAAACACTCAGATGGTTTAGGAATATGAATGCTCACTATTTAAAGCTGGTAACAATTTTTCTAAATGGGATAATTCTTATGCTACATGAATAGATAACCAAGAGATAAGCCAAGAGTCCAGATTTGGTGTTTCCTTTCTAGAAGGATAGTGTTTCAGGAAACCTACAGTCCCTGGAAAAGCAGCTCAGACAGAAGTTACCTTGACCACTGATGAGTGAGGAACCTGGAACTTCCTGGTGTCTTCTTGAAACATCGGAGGGACCTGGACCTTGAAGTCCCAAAGCCTGGGGGAGGTCCCTCTTCGTGGTCCATCTACTAAGTGGTCTGACACAGAAACAGATCCTTGTAAGAACAGCAAACAACTGCAGAAGAAACTTGCACTTATCCACCAAATAATACAGAGTCTTTGCTCAGCTCCGGGCATTAGGCTGGACCCTGGGGCTCCAAGGAGGGGTAGGTAAGGGTCCCCTTGGAGTTTGTAGTTAAGCACTCAAGCTTCGGGGTTGAAGAGACTTGGGTTTGACCCCTGGTTCTTCTACTTCTCAGCTGTGTAACTCCAAACAAGTTATATCACTTGACCTTCAGTTGTCTCATCTCTAAAATAGGGGCACAAACCATATAAAATGGAAGTGAAAATTACATAGAAGAAGGCATGTAAATGCTTGGCCAGGGGCGGCATGTGCTGAAGCCTCGATAAACAAGAAATATCATCTCTATTCCCACCATCTCCTTCCTCCTCCATTCAAGGAGAAAGACACAGCAACAACCATGATGATAAGTGCTTTGGACAAGAGTTCTGCTGGGGAGGGGAGTGGCAGGAGAAGAAATTCTGAAAGGCATCATAAAAGAGGTGACTTGTGACCTGAGTCTCAAAGGATGAAGCAATGTGGTCAGCAGAGAAAACAGGTAGGGGGTAGGGCTTCCCAGACAGAACTTGAAGCCTTAGTGGCATTCAGCAGGGGGTGGGATGGCACGGTGCACTGTGGCCCAGGGGTGGGGTGGGGGGCAGGCTGGGCCCACACACACACGTTGGCTGTGCCACCTAGCCCCAGTGGCAGCACCAGCCTGTGGCCAAAGGCAAACACAAGACTTTCTCAGGACCTTCTACAAACCATTTTCTGGACAGGAAGCAGCTGCTAAGTCAGCACCGGAAGTGTCTGAGATGAAAGCCACCCTCTCATTTTACGGGGGACAGGGAAACCAAGGCTCTGAGCAGAGCCTGTCATCCCAATGTAGTGGCTAAGACTAGCCCCTGCCATGTTTGCTCCCAATTAAACTGATTTCAGACAACTCACTCACTGGTAAAGGGTTGAAATGTCCATTCACTTATCCTGGATTCGCTGAAAGTCTCCAGTCGATACTAGAGAGAAAAAGACAGTGGGTTCACACTCATGCCCTTTAGAAAGACAGAGCATTGTGCAAAAAGAGGAAGCTCCCACCTTCCGGGGCTCAGTGGAGAGACACAATGGTCCCAAGCAGGGCACAGGGGGCTGCTTAGAACAGGCTGGCAACAGTGATGTCTGTTCCAGATGTGCCGGCACATCTGCAGGGAGGTCAGTCAGCCCCAGAAAATCTCCCCTGACAGGCTCACAGCGGGGCAATTTCAGTTCCCCATTTCTTTATACATAGAAACATTCTAGGGGTAAGTTTTGGAGCAGCAATAGCCTTCTGACAGATGGAGGGCCCTGGAATCCACTGCTGCAAGGGTCCCCCTTTGGAAGAGTTGATCTGCCTAATAGTAAAACCCTCCTTCTTGAGCCTCATCCACAGAATACAAACCTAAAACTAGTCTTGGACATCACCTGCTCCTCCATTTCCATGTGAGGAAATGGAGACTCAGAGAGGTCAGTTGACTTGATTAAGGCCACACAGCTACACAGGGCCCTCTTCCTCCAGATCCCTGCTCTAAGGACTCTCTGTGAGGCTCCTCTGATCTCTGTGTGATTGTGTGCTCACCAGAGGATGGCTGTGCCAGTGCCACTAGAAAATGTGTACCTAGACACTGCCCCGTGGCACTGTCAGTATAGAAGGTGACCTAGGTACCTTCTGTGGTCCTAGTTGTGACCTCAGTGTAAGATTTCCCTGGAGTGTCAGGCCCCAGGCTGACTGATGAATAAATTGTTCCTTGGCATAGAATTGACATAGGAGAAGCAAAGGAAGCTGGGATGAAGGGGAGTCGATGGACCTCTGTCAGCCCACTCCTCATAGAAGCGAGTCAGTCTTGTGTTTGAGGACATGAGCTTTGGTGCCAACAAATCTGATGAATCCCAGCTCAGTTACTTCAAGCTGCATATTTTTGGGCAAGTATGTTCGCCTATCTAGACATCCAATTCCTCCTCTACAAACTGACGATAATAATGCCTACCATGCAGGTAGCTGGGGGCATGTGATAAGACATATATGTAGCACCCTTTACGTGAAACCTAGCACACTCAAGCTTTGCGATGATGATTGATAATAATTCCTCCTTGCATTATCACTCAGAATGCAGAGCAGAGAGGTCGCAGAAGGGACTTACATGTCACTGCCATTCACACACACTGCCCTCCAGCCTCCTATCTCCTGTTTCCTGTCACATGGGACCCCACCAGGCCAGCGTCCTTACCCTGCACAGGGTCTGCTGCTTCAGCTCCTGGATGATGATGTCACTGGCAGCTGAGCTGCCATAGCAGCATTTCGAGTTCACGAAGCTCAGGAGGGCCTCACGCGCCACCTCCTCTGTCACCACAGGGATTCTGCCAGGGACAGAGCAGAGAGGCAGGAGGGCCTGGGGAGAGCTCGTGGGCTCATCCAGGCCAGGCAGCCCCCTCACCGTGCAGATGGAAACTGGCCCACAGTGGTGGGAAAACACTCAGGAGTCCAATGAGAAAGGGCATCTCAGCAAAGGAAACTGTGTGAACACATGCCTGGGGTGAGAGAGCTGCAGGCCTTTCTAGAGGACAGCAAAGCTGCGTTAGCTGAAGTGTAGATCTCAGGAGAAGGGCTGATAGAATCTTAGAACTCAAAAAAAAACCAACAAAAAACCAAAACCTTAAAGATGAGTTATGCCATTTTACAGATGAGGAAAACTGACAGCCAGAGAAGAGAGCACACAGCTAAAGAGGCAGAGTTAGGCTAGATGAGGCTCCTGATCTCGGGGAACTTGACCTCAGCCAGAGGAGCAGTGACCAACTTCATGCAAAGACAGCAGCCTAGAACCATCCAACAGCTGCACCCACAGCGTATGACTCACCGTGAGCCTGCTGGGCCAGGGCGCAGCCACTAGGAAGGCAGATCACCAGCCCCTTCTTCCTCCTTCTCTTGGGACACCTCCCCCTCATGCTGGAAAACTCTTTAGGTAGGCCCAGCTACCAGCTCCCCTCCTTAGTGAAGCTCTCCTGCCCCAACCCATCCAGGACGCAGGAGTCCTCTCCTTCTGCCTCCCTCTCACATCTTCATATATTTCTCCACAGCAGCTCAGCTCCCAATGCAGGGGGTAGGGAGGTGCTCCAGGCTTTCTATTCTCTGCACAAAGCTGGTGGTAACATTGGAGTTCTGCCCCAACACAAAACAAGGAGGGTGTGGGCCTCTCCAGAGAGCAGCTAGCTTTTTCTGTAAGGGGCCAGACAGTAAATATTTTAGGCTTTGTGGGTCCTCTACTCTGTGTCTCAACCATTCACCTGTTGGAGTGGGAAAGCAGACACAGACTGTGAGGAAACAGATAAGAGGGGCTATGTTCCAATAAAACCCAATTTATAAAAACAGGCAGGGGGCTGGATTTGGCCCAGGGGCCATAGTTTGCAACCCCCGATTTCGACTATAGTTTTCAACTCTGGCTTGGTCGCCAAACATCCTGCATAGCATGGCAAAACAGAGACTCCCAGCCTCCATCCCTGGAGAATCCAATCCAGGAGGTCTGGCCCTGATGCACTGTCAGGGTTGACATCTGTGGCCCTTGAGGTCCCCACGGAAGGCTCTCAAAGTCAAGGGGACAAGAAGCATCTCCATGCGTGATCCTGTGTGATGGTTCTGGTAGGGTCATCAGAGTGCACCTGCAACTCACCTGTGTTCCAGGAACGAGGACCAGCACCTTTGTCCCTGGGGTCTCAGTGGGGTCTCCAAAGGTGGGAAGAATATTTGCTGTCCTGAAAAAGAAAGGGGGAGTCGGGGGCTAGCTCAAAGGAACAGATGTCTGTGGGTAAAAGAAAAAAGAAGACTGGCTGAATGTGAGAAAGAGCAGGGGAAAAAAAAGAATGTTCTCAGACCAACATCGCTCCGGTCTTAAATGGATGTGGTCATGGACTGTTCATGGACACAGGGCTTATACCCTATGTCCTCCTATTCCCTCCCAACAGTGACAAGGGGCTTCCTGAGGCTCCCAGAGTAAAAAGGGGCTATCCCAGTGCTGGCTAACCAGGAGAAGCCCCAGGAAGAAGCTGCAAGAACCAAGACCCCACAGACTTACCACCTCCTTGAAAAAGGCAGTCATAGCTGGGAAGCCTCTCCAGGAGTTCAGCTGGGGGTGCCAGGGGACCCTCAGCCTCAAAGCAGAGGTCCACAACATCTGCAGAAAGACAGCCAGTCCGGAGCCTTCAGGAGGGGGGATAGGAGGGAGTCTGTGGCAACTTCACAGGAAGCTGACAAGTGAAGGCACAAGCCTTATAAGAAGCCTCAGTTTAACTAAACCTGTCTCCCTCTGGCACCCTTAGGAGACAGAACACATCTGCAGGGTGAGAAGGGGTGGGGTGAGGGTATGATAATTGCAGCAGTTATACTAAGAATGGAAAAAACATTGAGAACGGCAGCTCCTGTTTGATGGTTACCTACTCTGTGCCAGACACTTTGACAGGCATTTTAAAAATATTGTCACATTCCACAACCCTGGAGATAGATACTGAATTACAGATGGTCAAACTTCTTTAAGGCTCCTCTCTCTCATTGAAAGATGGATCTATGTCTCCTCCTCTTGAACCAGAGCAAGATCAAGTCTACTTCAACCAAAGGAACACAATGGAAGCAATGAAGAGACTGCGATGTCTACTTCTGGTCTCTAGGAGAATTCCTGCTTGAGCCCTGAGCTGTCATGTAGGAAATCAGGCCATCCTACTAGACAGACCGTGCGGAGATGTCCTAAGACTAAACGGAGAGGAACAGGCACAGCCTAGCCTTTCAGCCACTTTGGCCAAGCCACCAGGCATGTGAGCAAAGCCATCCTGGAATCTCCAGGCCAGACCAAGCTGCCCGCTAAATATCACTGAGTGACCTGTTGTGAACTACATAGCTGTGTCACTCCCACAACCTCCTGCCAATTCATATGTTGAAACCCTAATGCCCAGTGGAATTGTATTAGGTGGTGGGTCTGTGGGAAGAGATTGCATGTAGATGAGGTCACAAGAGCAGAGCCTCCATGTTGGGGTTAGTGTCCTTGCAAAAAGAGAAAGAGACCAGGTGTTCTTTCTCTGGCATGTGAGCACATAGTGAGAAGGCAGCTGTCTACAAGCCAGAAGTGGGTCCTCAGCAGACACCAGATCTGCCAGTACCTTGATCTTGAACTTCCCAGCCTCCAGAGCTATAAGGAATAAATGTGTGTTGTTTAAGACCCCCAGTCTATGATGTTTTTGTTACAGCAGCCCAAACTGTAAAGACAGACCTAATCCATTACACACAGAGAAGAAGAATCACCCAGTTGAGCCCTGCCAAAATTTTTGTCTTGCAAAATTATTAAATATATTAAAATGGCTGTTGTTTGAAGGCAGTGAGATGTGAAGCAGTTTGTTACATAGCTTCCTGCAATGGGCACTCTTTGCTCTGGGAACCCCTCCCCACAGACCTGGGCAAGACTTTCTTAGAACCATACCATGTTCTAAGGTTCCTTCTGCTCACGCTCCATCCTGCCTGATCTCCTCTTACCTGTCTGTCCTGCATTGAGGTCTGAAGGCTGCCCCTACCTCTGTCTGCTCCCTCTCCTTTTTCCTCACCTTCACAGGTGTCCCCAAGAGACCTGTGGCACATCTAATGCCACCTTGATGTCTGCTTGTCGGATGACCTGCACTGACAGACCAATCCCACCCCATTCTACCAACGAGAAGACTGAGGCTCAGAAAGGTGGTGACTCACCCAAGATCACACAGCCAGTAGTGATAGATCTGGGTTCAAACAATGGTCCACTGGTCTCCAAAGCCCATGTTCTTTCCAAGCACTTTTATGAGGCAAACCCTATGTAAGAATCACTCACTATAAATCTACTGATTTCACTTATATGTGGAGTCTAAAGAAAAAAAATAAATGAAAAAACAAAATGGAAACAAACTTACAGACTCAGAGAACAGACTGATGGTTGCCAGAAAACAGGGGAACTTTGGGTCTGGGTGAAAAAATAAGGGAAGTAAGAAGTACAAGTTTGTATTTAGAAAATAGTCACAGAGATAGAAAGTACAGCATATGAAATATAGTCAGTAATATTGTAATGACTATGTATGGTGCCAGGTGGGTACTATAAACATCAGGGAGATCACTTTGTAAAGTATATGATTGTCTAACCAGTATGCTATACACCTGAAACTAATATGAAATAATATTAAATTTTAAAAAATTTAAAAATGTTTAAAATCTCATCTTGATGTGCCTGGCTATGATGTAGATACACATGGCCTGAGCCTCTAAGCAAGAAGGCATAATATAAGAACTAGCCCCAGAAACGCGGGAAAACTCATGCAGCACCTCCCCACACACTGGCTGCTTCACCCCACCCTCCCACCTGGAGGTACGGAAGGCAGGGCTTCTAACTCCACCCGACATGAGGAGTCTGAGGCTCCAAGAGGTTACTCCAGAATCCCTAGGGTGCACAGTGGTGGAATCAGAGCAGGATAGGGGCTCGTTGTTCCAGTGCCATCCTACTGGGCCACCCTTCAAACCTGTCCCCGGAAGCCCCCATGCTGAGGGTCAAGAATCCCTCAACTATCTTTCTAGCTGCCCATTTAATCACAGGAAGTTGGCTGTAAGGGGTAAACCAGTAAAAATGGTCAATGGAAGGTGTTTCTCTCTGCATTAAGTCTCTGAAGAACACTCAGGTCAAACTTCCAGTTGATCTGCCATATTCACCTAGAGCTTTTTTAGGTTTTTTCTTTTTCTTTTGGCAGCTCTTTAAGTGTGTAGCTCTTGACCACCACAAAAATAAAACTATGTCCTGTCCTTTGGAGTTTAATAAAAACAGAGTTCAGAAGACTAAGCAGATCTTGTTTTAAATTGGAGCAGCCTAGTGTGTCTGGAAGTGGAGACAGCAGGTGGAGAGAAAGCCTAAAATCCCAAAACACATGGCCAAGAACAATGAGGAGGAGGCGGTGTCATTAAGACAAATGAACAAACCTGCTCTATCCTCTTCCCAAATTAGAAACGTCTTTGTCCTCAAATACATATGCACCTCTAAGTTTCCTTCTCCTTGCAGGGAACTTAGAAAGAACAGTGAAATAGAAGAGTGTTTGCAGGCGTAGAGAGTGCCTTTTTTTTTAGCAGGAAAACCTATGTCCATAAGCAAATGATTCTGCCAAGAAACAGGTGAGAGAGCCAGGACAGTCATAGGTGTGGCACATAGTGACATCATCCCAAAGCTTCAAACTGAAGCCTGCCAGTGAGGACTGAAGTCCCCAAATGATAACATGGACTTAATAGTCATATCTTGGTTCCCAATATTGTATTGTTTCTAATGAGTTTATTAGTTTTCTAAGCTATTTTAGCCACCGGGGACCCAGGGACCAGCAAACATTTTCTGTAAATAATCAGGTGGAAAACATCATAGACTCTGTGGGCCATGTAGTCGTCTCAGTTACTCAGCTTGGTTATTGTGGCCTCAAAGCAGCCACGGACTATACACAATTGAATAAGAGTGGCTTTATTCCAATAAAACTTTTCAAAAACAGGCTATGGGTCAGATATGGCCCTTGAGCTGTATTTTGCTCACCCTGTGTGGATGGATTTGAGGGGTCCAAGAAGGTGGAGGCTGGAATTTGAACTTTCTGGGACCAAGACCCATGCGCATCCATTGCAGTTCCCATGAACCCAGTTATCAGAATCAAAGATGAAGGTCAGGGTTGGACTGCAGCCAGAGTAACTGCACTCAGAATCCCTAAGGCTCGGTGGTTAAAATCCTGGGCTCTGATGCCCTGCAGATGAGCCCTGTCATACAAGACACTGTTGGAACCACACATCATTGCAGAACTCAACTACCCCAGTTATGAAACAGCAGAAAACAGTGCCCATCTAGTGGCACAATGCATACATAGCTCTGGGCCCTGAGCCTGGCCTTTAATAAATGCTCCGTCAATGCCATGAACCCGAAGAGCCAAGGTCTTCCCCTTTCTTTGTGTTCCTTTGAGCCGGGGGACAATGGAAATGTCAAGCATAGGAAAAAAAGGCAAGACCACCACAGCCCATTCCCCTGGGATGGCCCCTGCCCACCCAGAAGTCTTGGGCCAGCGAAGACATCAGTACTGTCTTCCACAAGAAGACAGGGAAGTGCCATATGGCTGTTATGTCTTGATGGAAGCCAAACAAAGGGACAGGAAGAGGGGAAGAATGAGAGGTGGGAAACTCAGAGCTCCATCCATCAACCAGGAGCCACCCTGACCTCCCGGGGTGGTCATAATTCGTCAGAGCTAAATTAATCTCACCATTATGTTATGTACAAAAATAAAGGACTCCAGGCTGAGCTGCAGACGGATGCGTCATTTCCTGTGCAGATCTCATCAGGCACAACAGGAACGCGGACGTCACGAGGCATTGTGTGACACCCAGCGTAGGTCACTCCAGAGGGGGCCACCAGGCACTTCACTGTTTCCATGGTATTAGGGCTGAGTTCCAGGGCAGTTGCCCAGCTGAGCCACCCCACCCTCACACACGTATTTTGTCCTGTGGCTCAGAAAAGGATGCCGCAGGCATGGTCTTTTTTGCGCTTTACAACCACTGTTTTCCCCATTTTGTAACAGAACGAGATGAGGCTCAGAGATGTGATCTGGGTCGACAAGCTCAGACCTTCATAGCAGAATCAGAAAGAGTACTTAGAGCTCAGTACTTAGAACTTAGTACTTCAAGCCAACTTTCCTCTTGGCTGAATACCCTGCTGCTCCATGCAAACGGCATCAAATAGTTGCTGAGAAAGCTTTGCAGTGTTACTAAGGCAGTGTTTCTGCTCCCCAGCCACCAGCTATTTTTTGTTGGTACAGAAGGGAATTTTCCTTGCAGAGAAAAGGCATAATTAAATGGGTAACCTCTTAACTTCCTCTCTTAAATGCCAATCCCTTTATTTCAGAGCATAAATGGAACCCATATCTTCTGTTCCTAATTCCAGATTAATCATCTTACAAGTACTGAAATTGTGCCACTTCTCTGTTCAGATGGCTCCCTACTGCTCTCTTGCTTTACTTTGTTTTATATTCTATCTTCTTCAGCAGGTATGAAAACCCCTTTTAGACAGAGAACCCTGCTTCTTGCATACAGTTAGTGTACATAAATTACTTCATTTAAATCATACTGAAGAAGGTGAAAGAGATATCCAAGTGGTCAAAGTTACAGAGACAGAAAGTATAATGGTGTTTTCCAGGAGTAGAGGTGGGGGGAATGGGGAGTTTTAATATAATGTGTGCAGTTTCAGTTGGGGACAATGAAAACATTCCGGAGGTGGATGGTGATGATAGTTGCACAACAATGTGAATGAGCTTAATGCCACTGAACGACACACTTAAAAATGGTTAAGATGGCCAATGTTATGTTATATGTATTTTACCACAATTTAAAATAATAGAAAAGAGAAAGATAAGGAGGTTCAGGTGATTATAAGATAAGCAAAAGAAAGAAGTTCTGTTTTGCCAAGAAGAAAAAACAAATAATTGGCTACACTCATTAAAGGGCTTCCTAGCAAGACCAGAAAGCCTGACCAGGTCATCCCCTCTCTTAAATACTGCAGTGGCTCGCTGCTACCCACAGCTACTGTCCAAGCGCCTGAACTTCTCAGATAAGACCCTATATTCCCTGTGGGACAGGAAGAGAAGATTCTCATCTGCTCACATGATGGGGAAACACTTTTCCTATGCTGTCCAGAACAGGGTGAAAGGAGGGAAGACAGCTAACTGGGGAGGGTGAGGGGGTAGGCACATACAACAGAGTAGAAAGGGGGAGAGAGAGAGAGAGAGAGAGAAGCCTGCTTGAGGCTTGAGAGAGAAGTGTGGCAGCTTTAGGGCAGGAACCACTGAGAAAGTACTTGGGGAAGCAAATATAATGCAGTGAAACCAACACTAAGAGAAACGGGGGAAAGAAGTTTTCCCTGGAGTTATGTACGCCCCTCTGATGGGCCAAGAAAGAAGCAGCAAATGTTACAACACGTTTCCAGTAAGTGGGAATGTAGAGCTCATGCTTTGTGGAAAGTGCCATCGCGCCCAGAGAGGCCCACATAGGGGCTGGGCTTTCTAAGAGCTGCCTCTCCTTCCTAGAGGTGACTTGTCATTTCATGATACAGAGGTTTACATTTATGCTCATACATACACCATGCTATTTCTCACAGCCCTTGCTCTGGCTGTTCCTGCCTATAACACCCCATCACCTGGTTCAGCCTAACTCAGCCCAAGCCTCACCTCCTTCCAGCAAAGTCAGCCTGGGAGTAGTTCTCCTTCTCTGTGACCTCAGAACTCCATTGTTTTTGAAAGAGAATTCCACTCTCTACCACTGCTTTTGCCAAATGGCTTTACAAGAATTAGCATTTGTAAAATATCTGTTTGGGGTCTGCCTTCCCTACTAGACTTTTAACACTTTGAAGGTAGGTCGATGTTTTATTCATCTTTGTCCCCCCAGCCATGAGCACAGCACAAAATAGGTAGCCTGCTGTGTAGTCTTACAGGAAAACTCACTTAACTTTTTTAGGGCCTTCATATCCTTTCCATAAAACAGGGCTCAAGGAGTACAGTCACCGAGAGGAGCAAATAGTGCTGTGGATAAGACAGGGCTCTGCAAACAAATTTGGGAGATTTCTTGTAATCTTCTATAAGCTATTATATGATGTCATTAAAGCTTTTATTTCTTACTCCCCTAACGGGACAGTATGTTTCCATTAGGAGTTTCCAGACCCACAGTCTCCTTGCAGGAATGTGGCTGGGCCACCTACAGGAACGACCAGATGGATCCCATCAGGTCAGGGCCCAGCTGTCAGGGAAGACCTGCATTCCTGGTGGCCATGCCTGCACCCTAAGCGATGTGTGAAAAACACTGAGGCCCCAAGGCCAGTGACCAAGGCTCTTGGCAGCTGGGCCCCTGCCTGGAAGTCCAGTGATAGTTTCAAGTAGCCGTGATGACTTCTGATCCAGATTGCGAATCCCAACTCAGCAGGGGTGAGGGGCACTCTAATGAATAAACCTTGGGGAAGCTGAGCTGGTCTGGATGCCAAGGGGAGAGTCCCACCTCTTCAGCAATGAGTCACTGATGGTGACAATTTTGTGGCCTCAGATCGTTGCCCCCTCCTCCCTAGGGACCAGTGCCCAGGAGTACGGAGGTGCCACCAAGGACCAATGGTCCTGGACCAGAGCAACCTCCTCCCAAAATTACCAGGGGCTCTAGGTACAGCCCATCTTACCTGAAGAGGCTCTTGCTTACCATTTCTGGTAGGGGTTTAAGTCTCCCTCCAAGAGAAGGGTGAGTAAAAGCACATTATATCTGGGACCACTGAAGAAGCAGGACTTGGTTAAGCTAAACAAAAAAGACTGAAGAGTTCTTATTTTAAACATAAGAAGGACAGGTTCTGAATAACCTGGGCAGGGGCAGAGGTTGGGTATAGAATAAATACCAAATAATAGAAGCTCTAGGGAAAGAGATATAGACTCAGTATAAGAGAACTTGTAACAGTGTCAACTGCAGAGGGGGTCAGCCCACCACTGAAGGTGTTCCAGTCAGTGGTGGCTGATGCTGCCTCTAGTTGGCGACACTGACAGAGGCAACCTGGCATGACGGTGGCAGTGTTGGTCAGCCTTCCATGTGGGAGCCACATCCCAGAATGCCCCACCCATGCCCAAAGTATGTGTCACTGGAGGAAGATAACTCTCTTGCTGAAGCTGCCCACATTATAGACTCAAAAACTAAGGGACAGCACTTTAGTGACTGGGAAGGGTACCTCAACTGGATACAGTAGGCAGCCATCTGTCACCTAAGATGGAACATGTAAATTATGGAAGTCCCATAGCAATCAGTAAGTCTGAAACCTGGAGAAAAAAATTTACAATGTTCCAGAGTTCATCAACTTCATTTCTAAAAATCTTTTCTGGATAATTCCATCCATTACAGTAGACCCTAAGTGCTGACCTAAGGTTTGATTATATTAGAAATCAGCACGTAGGGCAACCCTATGACATCAGTAAGGTCTATTATAAATTTCAGAATTGTAAGGGAACCAAAGCATTCACCTTACTCTCATCTTGCTTACTAAAAGGATGATGCCAAAAGCAGAAACATCACAGGTGATAATACCATCCATTAATAACAGTTTAATTTTGAAGCTTTGGGGGACAAAATCTGATAATTTTCCAGAGCCAATATTTATTTTATGCTTACTCTGGACTGAGTGATGTTTTAGGGATTTTGTTGGGTTGGCCAAAAAGTACATTACATTTTTCCAACTATGGCTCTAATAGTGCTTAGTTGTCTTCAACTTCATTCAAAACAATTTTGTTAGATTGTATTGTGACAGCTGTCATATCAGCATGCACTAAAAAAAAAAACACCAAAATTGGTGAATTTTTGTGCAGTTATTTTAATATTGAAGATGGAAGAAAATATGCAACATTTTCAACATATTATACTTTATTATTTCAAGAAAAATATACAACTGAAATGCAACAACAAAAAAAAGACTTACGCAGTGGTTTGTGAAGTTTCTTGGTACTGTTGACATTTTGACCAAATAATTCTTTGCTGTGGGGCTGTCTTAGGCATTAGAATATGTTTAGCAGCACCCCTGGCCTCTACCCACTAGAAGCCAATAGCGGGAGATAGCCAACATACTCAAAATATCCAAATCAATAAAGTTATAGGTCAAAATGAAAAATGTGTCTTTCATTTTATGAAGAAAACATAGTGGGTTCTTTGGCCAACCCAATACATCCAATTAATCCTTTACTAAATCTTTAATATGACACCATCTCTATTTTAATTGGGGGAAATAAAGCTCAGAGTGGTTAAGTGACTTAAGCAAAGTCACCCAGCAATTAGAAGGTGCAGTTTGCGTTTGAATTGAGATTTGACTTAGCCCATTTCTACTAAGAGAAACTCCAAGCATAAATTGAAAGACTGCTAATGAGCAGTATTTTGAAGAGGAAAGATTGCCTTTGAATGTTTTTAGAAACTTATTAAAATAAGACTATAAATACACAATTTCCAATATATCAGATTAGGTCCTCCTCAAACACATGCTAAAATATCTTCATACAGCTTCCACTTCAATATGAAAAAGGATTCCAAAAAATTAAATTGAGCTCTAAGATTAGTGTAAGTTCATTTTATATCCCACTTTGGCTCTGAAGCTTAAAGCTTTAGGAGAACATCATTAAAGACAACAGAGAGTATTGGACCTTTGAGGGATCTCCAAGGTCACTGAGGTCAGTAACTATAAAAATGAACGAGCGTCACAAGCCTCTCTGGGATTCAAATGAAATCTGTGCACCCCCACCTCCAAAAAATATATACTTAAAAAATTTTTTAAGCCACACATTCACACAACATTTTGCCCACACCTTCATGGTCTTCAAATTAAGAACTCCTCACCCAATCTCCTTTTATAGATGAGAACATTGGGGCTCAGAGAGGTTAAATAACTTGCTCATGATTACACAGACAATTCATAGCAGAGACAGGACTTGAACCCTAGCCTCCTAGTTCCCAGTCAGATACTGTACCACATTCGCCATTCTAAATTCATAATAAAATATTTCCATTTTTTAAACATAGCACATTTTTTCCCTAAAAATACCATTTCTTTCTTCATTTCTTTAAATAGTCCTTAGATATCATTGTATTTCTGTCCCAGTAATGACAGGATGGGGTCACCCAGGCTGTTTCAGGAGCAGTGATGAAGACGTGAGCTCTTAGCTAGAGGGAGACCATGAGAAAAGACCTTTCGTGACATTTCTTTAAAATTAACTTCATCTAAGAACTGAACCCAACTGAGACTAAGAATTCTGATAATCACACTTACACTTGGCTCTGGAGGAGGTGGGACTGTCAACTAGAGAAAGGAAGGACAAAGATTATAAGATTTGGACAGTCTTATAATGGTTGGGGAGAAAAGCTCTCATCTTGAGATTTTACCATCCTTTTCCATTGTCCAGAGACCCATGTAGAAGAACTGCAGGCTGTAAGTGGGCTTTGCAGACATAAGAAAGGGAGGAAGGAAGGAAGGGATGCTCTTAGCAGGGCAGACACAGAACCTGAAATAGCACTAAGGGCAGAGCAAGGTTTCAGCTCAGTGCCTGCTACAGAGGTGGGCACCCCACGCCCACTCGGCTGTACTTACTGTCCTCATCATTCAGATCCCTGTCCATGGTCCAGATGTCCAGCCAAAGAGGTTTCTGCCCTTCCAGTGGGTTCAGGCCACCGGGATCTGAGGGACTACCCTTGGTCCCTCCCAGAACGACAGCCCATTGCTGCCTGATTTGAATACAACAGAGGGAAACATCAGAAGGGAAGTACCTTGCCCATCAGAGCAGCTGCTCTGGACCCAACTACAGGGGTTCTTGGAGCTCCTACGCACCAGACTTTCTACTTACCAGTCTCTTGCTGGGTGCCTCTAGACACCTGTGTCCTCACAACCCTATGAGGTGGGCAGTTTTATGATGCCCATTTTTCTGTCAAGTTGGAGCTCTTCATTACTGTGCTGTATTGCTCATTGGTCAAAGTCAGACTTCTGAGTGTTGTGGGGTGGAGAGGGGATACAGAGAATTGTAATAACCTCAAGGAGGTTATCTCCCCAAGGGGGAGAGAAAATATGGATGGGACCTCTCAAGTCTTGAGCATCAATCTCATTCACTGGAAAAGAAACAAGGTCACACAGCACATTGCGGGCACAGCCAGCTCCCAACCCAGGCTATGTGGGCCCCTGGTATGACCATAGCAACCTAGCCCCATGTGAAATATCTGCAGTTTTTTCCAAGATCTCTTTACAAGCCTTTTGTTTTGTGTCTCAGCACTTCTTCAACCTCTCGGAAGGTCACCCTTCTCCTCTGGGTGAGTCTAAACAATGAACACATTTACCTGGTCACCTGGTGGTAGAAGTAGAAACCTTGTGCACTGGCACCCCCTGAGCTGCATTCTTGGCAATGGCTCCTTACATTTGGGCCTAGAGCTCTCTGGCCAAGGAAGCCTTTCTCCACAGGGCAAAGCAAGTAGCCTGGGCCCTGGCCTGCCCAGCCCAGCAAGGCCCATGGGGATGTGCATGACAGTCCTCCATGAACACTGGTGACTGCACCATCAGGGAAGCACTCTGACTGATCTGTCACAGCCACACCACACAGACACAGCTCCACGGTATGCCACAAAGTGCTTTGAATCTCTCTTTCTACTTCCTTCACCCTCGTTATTCACTGCCCACCCCCAACAGAATGTTATTGATAGTCTGAAAGCAGCAGCAATATTTGACAAATGCTTCTGAAATCCCCTCAGATGACTCAATGCCCACAAGGTTTTTACAGTTGGTAAGAGCACTGAATTTCTTAAACTTGAGAGTTATGTAAGTTTCATTACTGTTTACACACAAGAAAGACCAAGATCCTGAAGAATGAATTAGTCTTTTGATACCTTTATACATTAAGCAATGATTTTAAGCCCTTGTAGAATTGTCTCCATGGAAACAGGATGTATGTGTGTATATTTTACTCTAAACATAGTGGGGGGGGGGGCTGTCCAGAAAGTATCCAGCCATGCACTATGAAAAATAGAGGCATTTATTGAAGAAGATACAAAGTACAAAAAACATTGTCCGTAGGATAATGATGCTTAAGTTTCCTTCAAAGTAGGCACCTTGGAATCTCACATAGTTCTCTCAATCACCATCAGCTGCTCCATTATATTTTCCTGAATCTCATCAACAGTCTGAAATCTCTTCCCTTTCAAAAGTAATTTTAGTTTATGGAAAAGCCAGAAGTCACAGGGCACCAAATCTGGACTGTAGTAGAACCAAGTCATCTGGGTGATTTGATATTTCACCAAAAACTGCATGGGATGTGATGCATGGGAAGGCATGTTGTCATGATGAAGCTGCCAGTCACTGGTTGGCCATATCTGTGGCCTTTAGAATCTTCTGAATAGTTTCCATGGAGGAATGTTCAATTTTAACACAAAATTTGATGCAGATTCGTTGCTCTACTAGCTCAGTCATTTTGAAGGAGGCCACACAGTACACATGCTCACTCAATGGTATCTATTGCCCCCACTGACTAGCACAGAAAAGTCACCATTGTGACTTCAGGCACATTCCAGTCCACTCTCCTTGGCTGCCAAGTTACAATGTGTCATGCAAACCATTCTCATTATATTAACAATGGCTGGACTTTTTCCCAACAGACCTCATATGTCTGTGTCTGCACACGTATGTATGTGTGTGTATTTGAGCTGAAACATGGTAGATAGATAGATGATAGATAGACAGATAGTATAGATAGATAATCAATACATACAGTGATTGACTACCTGCGGATTAACTAAAACAATGTACCACTACTATATCTTGATCACTTTTTTAAAAAATTTTTTATTATTAAATCATGTTTATTCTATTACGGTTGCCTCAGTTTTTCTCCTTTTGCCCTCCCCCCCCACCCGCCCCCCCCCCACAGTCAATTCCCACTCTGTTGTCCATGTCCATGAGTCATTCATACATGTTCTTTGTTTAGTTCCTACTTTCCACCATTGTCCTCCATCCTCATCCCCTCTGGTCACTTTCAGTCTGCTCCATGTTTCCATGCCTGTGCTTTACTTTGTTCGTCAGTTTATTTTGTTGAATAGATTCCATTTATAGGTGAGATCATATGGTATTTGTCTTTCACCAACTGGCTCATTTCACTTAGCATAATATTCTCCAGTACCATCCATGTTGTCGCAAAAGGTAGTAGTTCCCTCTTTCTTTCTTTTTTTCTATATTTTCTTTCTTTTTTTTTTAAATGCAGATCTTATTTATTTTTTTGAAGGAGGCCACACAGTCAAAATCCATTATAAAGCATTAAAAAATTTAAATCCATTATAAAGTCTCAGCAATTAAAACATGACGCCGGCACAGAAATAATCAAGTAAATCAATGAAATAAAATGAGCATTCTAGAAACAAATGTGTGTGTGTGTGTATCTAACAATGTAATATATGATTAAATTGATTTTTCAAATCAATGGGGAAAATAAGGCTTATTTAACATATAAGGTGCATGGACCACTATTACTTGAAATAAAACAAATATAGAGCACTATTTCACACATTATACAAAAAATATTCAGGTGAATTAAAAATCAATATGTATAATCAAAGGAGTTTTAGGAGAAAATACAAAATAATATTTTTCTTACCCTGAAGTAAACTATTCAAGCCCAGAAGTTTTAAATATTGACAATATGGCTATATTAAACATTTAAGACTATATAGTAATATACATATAAAAAAAGCTAAAGGACAAGTAATATAATAGGAAAGTATTTGCAACACATCTGAAAAAGGGTTAATAGTTTTTTGGGGTTTTTTAGGGGAAAAAATTCTACAAACATTTAATCAAAAAATGGATAAAGAATACCAAAAAGTCATTTAAACCTTTTTAAAAATAATAGAAATAGGCAAGAAATATACAAAAACAGGTTTAGTTTCAACAAATAATAAAGGAAAAACTAAAATTACACATCTTCATCACAATCAGGTTAATAAGTTTTAAAAATATTGGTAATATCAAGTATTGACAACTGTGAAAGGAACTAGGTATTCATAGAAACTTTTTCTTCATCTTTTTAAAGCAGTCCCGTTAGCATATTTTGCAATGCTGGTTTGGTGGAGGTGTATTCTTTTAGGCTTCTATTGTCCGGGAAACCCTTTATTTCACCTTCCATTTGAATTGAAAGCCTTGCTGGGTAGAGCAGTCTTGGTTGCAGGTCTTTGTTTTTCATTACTTGGAATATTTCTTACCATTCCCTTCTGGCTTGTAGTATTTCTGTTGAGAAGTCAGCTGCTATCCATATGGATGTTCCCTTGTATGTTACTACCTGTTTCTCTATTGCTTCCTTTAGGATTCTCTGTTTGTCTTTGATATTTGCTATTTTAAAGACGATGTGTCTTGGAGTGGGCCTCACTGGGTTCCTGTTGAATGGGACCCTCTGTGCTTCCAGGACTTGTGTGACTTTTTCTCTCCTCAAATTAGGGAAGTTTTCCATCATTACTTTTTCAAACAGGTTCCCTATCCCTTGCCCTTCTTCTTCTCCTTCTGGTATCCCAAGTATACAGATATTATTACATTTCAGGTTGTCCTACATTTCCTTCAATGCCTCTTCATTCTATCTGAGTCTTTTTTCTTTTTCTTGTTTTTTCTGTGAGCTTTTTTCTACTTTGTCCTCCAGCTTGCCTATTTGATCTTCTGCTTCATTGAGCCTACTTTTGATTCCTTGTACTGTGTTCTTCAATTCAGAAATTGTATTCTTCATTTCCTCTTGTCTCTCATTGATAGTTTCTATGTCCTTTTTCATGCTGATATAGTTTGCAGTAAGATTCTTGTAGTTTCCCTGCAGTTTTTTGTAATTCTACCTGAGCTCACTGAGCTCATTGAGTTTCCTTAGAACCATTGTTTTGAACTCAATATCTGATAGTTTACTTGCCTCTATTTCATTGAGTTCTCTTTCTGGAGTTTCCTCCTTTCCCTTTGATTGGGGGGTATTTCTTTGTCTTCCCATTATTTGTGAGACTTCTTTTTTCCTTCTGCTTCTTAAATTGATCTGTCTTGATGCCCTGACTTTGTGGGGTTGTGATCTTCTATGGTAGTAGATAACTGTTTTTACTTTCTTGATCTGCCTCTGATGATGTCAGATGTTGACCCTGTCTGATCTCAGGTAGTCTGTTCGAGACTTCCAGGAATCTACTGTCTGTGGCTGTCTCCTTCAGTTGTTAATCTAGTCACTCTACACTCAGTAATCAGGCTTAGACACCACAGGGCAGGGCAGGGTCCCTCCTGGGGGTGGGGTTATTGCATCCTCTCATGCTGCTGCCACTCAGGGCAGTGGTTTGCCTGAGCAAGATGGCTGCTGCCGTATGGGGATGAGTCAGCACCAGTACTCCACCAGCAACTCTCTCAGTTCTCTCCCGAAAGACTCCTCCCCCACTCTCTCCTCAGGTGTCTCTACCTCACTCTGCCCCTGCCTTTGCCAGAGACCAAGGTAAGTAGCTGCAAATAAAAATTTATGGTGGCCCTTTAAATGGATCTTTGCATCTCCAGCCTCCTGTCTCTGGCAGAGAGCAGCCCTGCCACTTTTTGCAGCTGGCTGTTATCTGTGTACTTTTTGGGCTCTGCTGTTGTAGACTGGAG